CCGGGCGTGGTAGCGCATGCCTATAATTCTGGCTACTTGGAAGGCTGAGGCGGAAGGATCGCCAGAGCCCAGCAGGTCGAGGCTGCGGTGGCGGGGAGTGGCCACTGCACTCCAGTCTGGGTGACAGAGTGAGACTCCAACTCAAAACAAACAAACAAACAAAAAAAACTGTTCAGTAGTCTTTTGTGTAAATGTAACTTACTTAATCTTTACCCCATATATGCCCACAAAGTTTCAGGCTACTACCTTTCTTCTCTATTATAAACAGTGTTTCTACAAACATTAATGTTTTGTTTTGGTGCTTTATTTGGAGGACAGCGATCATCTCATCTCCAAGTCTTTGGTAATTAATAAGAAGAAAGCAGAATGAATTTCATACCTTTTCAAATAATTGTCCCTTTGTCCAAACCCATTTACTTTTTTTTTTTTTTTTTTGAGTAAGGGTCTCACTCTGTTGCCCAGGCCGAAGTTCATTAGCATGATCATGGCTCACCACAGCCTCAAACTCCTGGGCTAAAGGGATCCACCCTCCTCAACTTCCTGAGTATCTGGGACTACAGGTGTCCACTATCCCCAGCTAACTTTTTTATTCTTTGTAGAGACAAGATCTCCCTATGTTAATTAAGCTGGTCTCCAACTCCTGAACTCAAGCTATCTTCCCACCTCAGCCTCCCAAAGTGCTGGGATTTATAGGCATGAGCCACTGCGCCCGGCCAAACCCATTTCCCTTAAGCTACTACAGTTCGGTTTTTACCTATACTGGTCTCTACTCAGGAAATGGCATCTGTGATCACCTAATGGACAGATTCACTGCATACTGGTCCTTTTTTTACTCCTCTGCAGGATCTGGCATTCCTCATCACTCCCTTACTTTGCTGAGTCTCCTTTCCTTGGGCCACACTTTCCCGGACTGCCTTCTCCATCTGATTTTCCTGTCTTGGCTTTGCTTCCCAGATCCTGTTCATCTCCCTGGTTTTCTGGTGTTTCCTGGAGGGTTATAAGTGACTCTGTGCTTTACATCCTACATGTGTTCATTGGGCAGGCAATTGGGGTACAGCTGAATAGGCACAGATGGGCACCCGAGCAAGCATGTGAAACATCAAAGAGAGGCAGGAGTGGAAAGCAGTTCTGCAGACCAGGGAGCTGGACAAGAGGGCGCTTGGGGAAAGACAAGACCAGCCAATGCATGCACACAGGAACCTGTGTGTGCCCGGCTAAGGAGTCTGGACTGTTTGTCCCCAGATTTTTCCAGGTCTTCATGACATACTGAGCACTATCGTTTCATCTTTTGTGGGACAGCCTACACCTGCATTGTAGGAATATCTTTCCATCATTCCATCTTAACATCCTGCTGTTGCTCCTGTGACGATGAAAAGAAATTGTGTAAAAGAAGTCATAACACTCAGGGGTGCGAGTGGAAATTAGATTTCCATATTCAGTGGGTCTAAAATAAAGAATGTGAATGGGATATTGCCTGCGATTTATTGAAACTCCCAAAATATTTATTTAGCCATCAGATGGACCCAGCGTGAAACTTTAGATAAAATCATAAGTTCTAGGACACTTGCAAAGCAAACTCAGGGCTGAAAACAAACTCAATCTCAGCACAATGTGCAAGAAACATGCCTTGGAAAAGTCACGTTCACCAGTCCTAAAGGAGCACAGGAATGTGGGGTTCAGCCCTGTGGACAGCAGGTCCTTGACCACATCAGGCAGTTTCCCCACATGGGTCCGGCATCTCAGAATCCCCCTCCCCACACAGAATGTTCCTTAGTTTACCCAGCTTCACTATATAACGAGAGGAAAGTAATGGGAGAGTAATGATTCATGCCTGAACAGTCACCACCGTGTTTTCTATCCCTTATGTGGAAACGACTTCTGCTTAAAATCTTCTCCTTACCAGATAACACTTCCCAGGAACGCATTCCACATTCTCCGTGAATCCTTGCCATTGAAGACCTGAAAAGCATGTTCCTTGTCAGTGCAGGTCGTGTCGCAGTTGAACATGCCACTGATAAGTTACAACATGTCTGAATTCTCCTGTGAATTGTATTCCACTGAGGAAAAAAAATTGCCTAGAGTTCAAGGCTAATGGACCGGTACCAACTGTTAATGCAATTGTGTATGCTGTCTTCTGCTTTCTGTCTGCAGCCTGCTGCCTCTCCAGAGGACACCCCTGAGCTCAGTGCCTTTTTGCAAAACTCCACCATTCCTCATCTTGTCAGGAAGAGGGATGTGCCTGTGGTCGAATTCCACAGACAAAGCCCCGCAAAAATATTGGTGAGTTTTCTCAGTGTGCACAGAACACAGGGAAAAGGTTGGATGGGATGGAATCCCCAAATACGAGTGGTTTTAACTTCAAGTATTGTTTTTATTTTTATTTTAGATTCAGGTTACACGTGTATGTTCATTACACAGACGTTGTGTAGTGGTGGAGATTGGGTCTCAGGTGACGCATTCTCCAGATAGTGAACGCTGTACCCTGTAGGTAATTTCTGACCCCTATCTCCCTTCCCCACCTTCCCTTTATTGATGTTCCCTGTGTCTGTTGTTTTTAGTCTCCTTTGATGCTCAGATATACCTGGCATCCATATTATGACAAAGGAAAGTGATTTTTCTATGAGGTCTAAGGGGCATTTGCAATATAACCCTTTTCACATTTCTACACCTGCCATGAAGGCCACTTTAGAGAAATAATGATAAAAACATCAAATGTTACCTTTAATCCATTTCAAGGACATACTGATTTGGTGGTTAGCCAGTTCACAGAGACTGAGATTATGGGAGCTGGAAGCTTGGAGAAGCACTGTTCATCCTGGGCCCTCAGGGTGATGCACCTGTCCCGGAATCTCAGAATCCTCGGCTTGTCTGGAAGAGGCAAGGATGGTGTGTTCAGGTTTCCTGGGCCAAAACCCTGGTAGAGTCTTAGCATCGGGGTCTGAGGTAGTTCAAGCCTGAACTTAGTCAAGCCTTTGCAAAACTACAGTTGGTATTCATGAGTCAGTGTTTCTTGATTTCTCCCACTAGTCCCAGTGCCACAGCTTCTAGAGCTTTATCTTTTCGTGTGAATATTCATCTTCTTCCCCGACCATGAGGCAAGGGCCCAAAGTGAATGTCAAGGTTCAGTTCATCTGTGTTCTCTAAACCATCTTCACGAAGAGTTGGAAGCTACAGGCACATTCTCCAGCTAAGCAGAAGTGATCAGAGAGCCCCTCAAAAGCCAATTACCTCGTCAAAAGCAAGCAAACCCACACCCGGTGCTTGGGACAGAGACAGGTTGGGAACTCAGTGTCCCATTGGGTGGGCTGGAGGGCACAGGCCAAGCCCCAAAGCAGCAGTAAAGAAGCTGTAGTTAAGGTGAAGTGCTTTGCGGTGATGCCAAATCAAAAGCCACAGTGACAAGGGTTGTCGATCCAAAGACACAAGTGAAAATAGTTTGCAGAAGGCCGCAGGGCAAACAAGAAACGAGGAAGAGGAGATGAAGGTCGAACTGGAAGAACAGCCTGAGCCCAAAAGGGCCCTATGGTGATTTCTACAGGGCCTACAGTCAGCTGTCCTGGCCAACTTGAAAGCCATTAAACCCCCAAACCTACGCCCCTGACCCTCTCCAGACTGGGTTCATCCCAGAAATTTGGAATCGCTCCTAGGTTCATTCAGATGTGACAGTGCTCTGACCCTGTAGCATCTGAAGCATTCTTTGTTCTCTATCTGTCCACCATATTGAAAGCCCATGAAGGTAGGTAACATGTGTGGTATAATCAGTACTGTTTCTCCAGTGTGTAGCATAATGTCTGGTTTATTTTTTGAGCCAATGTGTGAATGTCACCGTGGACACATCATCACTGCCACTACTAATAATTTTTGGAGTCATCTTCCAAAATGCCCTCAGGAGCCATTTTCACCTGTTTTTAACCTTCCTCCCTGACCCTAAATGCTCTTAATTCTAAATCCAATTCTAAGTAAATAACATATCGCAGGCAGTTTAAAAGATAGTGTTGGTAGTGACTAAATTAACTAGCCATCCAACCAGTTAATTTCCAAATAAAATGGTTGTAATGACAGCAGACAGAGATGTCTTGGGGAATATAACTGCTCCAGCCAGTTACAAAACTGAAATAATCCAAGGTAGCTATCACTGAAAAAAGCAAATGCATACTCAAAAAATGTATTCCTGATTTTCGCATCTATAGGTCTGAAAGGAGTAATCATAAGCTTAATTTTCAAAACTGAAATACGGAAGGTTAAGAAAAGATTTACAAAAAGATAAACTCTAGAATAACAGTATGTGTGAGTGTTAGCAATCACTTTTGCCCCTCAGCTAAAGCGGAAAATTCTCTGGAGATAAACAGTTTTCCACTCTTTCAGCCAGTCGAGTGGAATTGGCGGGTGTGGGCAGGGGAGGTGTGTGTGTGTGTGTGTGTATTGAGAAGGGCAGAGACAGTGAGGTTCTAATAAAAGAGGCCTGACTCCGAAAAGATAGATGCAAGAGGAGAGTCTGGGCAGCCCAGGTACCGTCATGAGATCCCGGTTTCATGCCTGTAGGCACTAAGAGAAAAGAGTAGTTCCTTCTGTTTTGTGATCCATAGATTTAGAGTTCAAGGTCCTAAGACACAGATGAGCACCTCATCCCCACAAGCCCTGCCTGTCCTTAGTTCTGAGTTCAGGCAATTCATCCAGGGGTCCCCATCTGACCTATCAGATCATTTAGAGAAGGCACATGAATTTTAAAGAAGACAAGCAGAATGGCAATTGGAGAACTGAGGGGTCTTAAATTGATTTCCTTTTCATTCCCGTATTTGCCTTATTTTTAAAAAATCAGCCTGGGCAATATAAAAAGAGGCCTCATCTTTACAAAAAAAATCAGAAGAAAACAAAATAGCTGGGCATGGTGGCACTTGCCTGTAGTCTCAGCTACTCAGGAGGCTGGGGCAGGAGGATCACCTGAGCCCAGGAGGTGAAGACTGTACTGAACCATGATTGTACCACTGCACTCCAGCCTGGGTAACAAAGTAAGACCCCAACTCAAAGTAAAAAAAAAAAAACAGGCCAGGCTCTTTGGGAGACCGAGGCGAATGGATTGCCTGAGCCTGTGGGTTTAAGACCAGCCAGGGCAACTTGGCGAGACCTCGTCTCTACAATAAATCAAAAAATTAGCCAGGTGTGGTAGCATGCGCCTGTAGTTCTGGCTACTTGGAAGGCTGAGGTGGAAGGATAGCCGGAGCCCGCGAGGTTGACTCTGGGGTGGCCATAAGTGTGCCACTGCACTCCAGCCTAGGCGAAAGAATGAGTCTCCAACTCAAAAAAAAAAAAAAAATAGTAAAATATTAAACACTTTGATAATTCTAACCATCTACACAAGTCCAGTAAATTAGGATAATGCCATATAAAGTTAACCATAGTCTTGAAAATCTAAAACATGTTACCTATCACATGGATAATCTTTTATTAGTAGTGCAAAGAATCAGACCAAAGAGGATGTTAGGGTGAAATAGATGCAAGTTTTAGTTCTGTGTCTCATTGATACAAAAGCTTTCAGGAGCCAGAGTTTCCACTTGGGAGGACAAAAAAGCTTTGGGGTTAGGAGGGGGTTAATGGTTGCCCACATTGTCATGTACTTAATGCCACCAACTGTACACCTACAAATGGTTTAAATTATTTTTAAAAGCGTGTCTTAAACATTCTTTGACATTCATTTCTTTCATCTTGACAGTAAAAAAATGTTTTGAACATGGAAATCGACAGCAAAGTATAACGAGAAAGTATAAATTAAACAATCATTTAAACTTAAGTCAAGCAGGAAATGTTTATTATAATAGAGGTACCTGAAATTACATGGCAAAAATCTGTGACAATTGGAAGACTATGATTTAAGTATATTTCTATGATACTGTAATATTTTTTAAAAGTAAGAGTAGGACATTCACACACTATTTCTTTTAGGATAAAATTTTTAAACTGCATATTCTCATTGGAAAGAAGTTTTCAGGGAGCAATATAACAGAAACAGTAATTGACATTTGTGGAATTCTAATATGTGGTACCTATGCAGAACTAACAATTTGAAAAATCAAGATTCAAATTTTTTTTCAATTTCTACTTTACTGTATGCCTCCTGAGTGCATTGAGTAAAGATCAGTAACTAAAATTCTTCTGAGCCGGGCTCGGTGGCTCAGCCTGTAATCCCGCGCCTTGGGAGGCTGAGGTGAGTGAATTGCCTGAGCCCGTGGGTTCGAGACCTGCCTGGGCAACTTGGCAAGACCTCATCTCTACAATAAATCAAAAATGAGCCAGGTGTGGTAGCGCGCGCCTGTAGTTCCAGCTACTGGAAGGCTGAGGTGGAAGGATCGCCGGAGCCCAACAGGTCGAGGCTTCGGTGGCCGGGAGCAGCCACTGCACTCCAGTCTGGGCAACAGAGTGAGACTCCAACTCACAAAAAAATAAAAAATGAAATGAAATTCTTCTGAAAATTATATGCATTTGTGTTGAAGGTCAGTTTTTTTCCTTCTCCTGTTTCTCATGAAACATTTTGATGTGAGAAAATCTTTAACTTCTGAATAACATAGAAACATATTTACCCTCCCATGAGGGCCGAGGCAAGCCTCAATTTCCATATCTGATTTTGTTAATTCCTATATTATTCCCTTTCTCTCTTATTGGTTCAAAAATTGCAAATCATCTGCCTCCCTGTGTCCTGGAATAAAACAACGCTGGATAGACAGTGATTATGCAAAGTTTATTCCAAAATCAAAAGCTAAATAAGACCCCCTACAGTTTTTGTTTAGTTAAAAACAACTTTACTGAATCCCATTTCTGATGAGGAATTTGAACGTGCAAAATGCCAACATCCTGTGTTGGGATCAAAATTTCCAATTTGCAAGGGAAAAAAATTGTATCTTTAACACTGAAAAATAATTGCTCCTCTACCTAGGAATAGCCTTGTATCTCTCATCTCGGGCCCCTGCTGTTTTTGTAGCTATGACTTCCATCTCCTCCCCTCCAAACTTCCCTGCCCTTCCCTTTCATCACTGTTTCAAGCAACCTTAGCTTTCTCAACTCTTCAGCATTTGATACGCTTGGCCACTTCCTGAAACTATCCCATCCCTTGAATTCTCCCAAAACATTCTCTCCTGGTTCTCTTTCTACCTTTTAGTCACCCCTTCTCAGAATGTGTCTTCTAAAATGTCTCTCTGCTCGTCCGTCAATGCTCTTGTTCTCTTCCATCAATGTTGGACTCTCAGGGAGGTTGCATGTATGACCATAACTAACTCCAGTTATTCCTAGGTGCCTCCTGTGGTCTCAGCCCTTGTCTGCTGCACTCAAGACATAAAGGAATCATCTGGATGTCTGATATCCACCCCTGTATCCACATGTCCAAAATGATTATCCCCATTATCTCCCAAATGTGCTTCCCCTGTGGAATTCCCATCCCAGCTACCCAGTTATAATTCAAAGAGCATCCTCCACCCAACCTCCAATGAGTCGCCAAGTATCTACTCTGCTTTCTACACTTCTCCAAAATTCATTTTCTTCTTTCCATTCCGATTGCCTCAGTTCAGGGTCTCCCTTGGACTCTTGCAATAGGCTCTTGTCACCTTCCTGCCTCCCACTCTTTTCTCTCCTCTGTCTCCACACACCTCTTGTCCCTCTCAAATACAAATCTGATCATACCCCTTGATTTAAAAGCATCACAGCTCCCCAGTGCCTCCTGAACAAAATCTAAACTCTTTAGCACAAAGGAATTGGAAGCTCTTCACCATGTGGACTTTCTCTCATTGCTACCTTATGGCTGTCTGTCTGTCTCACCCTCTATTCCCTACCCTTCCCTTTCCTGAGCATGTCCTGGTCTTGTGTGACAGAATCATGGTTATCCCATCCTGCTAGGTGATTCACTTTGACTCTTCACAGCTCATTCCAAGCGCCACCTTCTCCAGAATTCTCCAACAGAGCTGGCTAACTGGGGTCTCCATCTCCAGGGAGTTTACAACGATGACCATTCTTGGCTCCCCCTTGCCTCTGGAGGGTGATACCCAGCATGTCAGTCATGGAGCACAGGGCATCATGAAAGCCCTCACAAGAGCTTTGAGAATTCCTGCTCCTACTGTGGACACCGTGGTACCCAAATCAAGTAGTACAAGGACAGCCTGACCACCTGTATTTGGAAACAGCATGTAGAAATCAGTCTTCCTGGAATTTATCAGAAATCCCTTGTTTCTGGGGCATTCTGAGGTTCTCAAAAAATAGTTCTCATGGCAATATGGTTTATCATTCTGTGGCTTATCAATTTCTTTACAGTGAAATGCCTCAGTCAACTACTTCTCATAATACCCATCGATTTTTATTGAGCATCGATAGGCCAGTGCCCAGGGCTTGAGATATGAAGACTGAATAAGCATATGCCACAAGATGAATTCAGATCCATGAGGGAGTGCAAACAGAGAAGTGTCATTCTGTGCATGACACACAGAAAAGGGATGGTGATGTGTCTGTTTATTTTCATACTGAGATCCAATCAGAAAATCCTATTGAATAGATAGAATGTTATCATAATGAATATCTGCCAGGAAGATGCATTTCACATATTAAATGTTGTCCATTCTGCATTGGGCAACACTAGAAACTGGTTAAAAAACCAACCTAATGAATGAAACTCACGGAAGCATCTCCTTTAGAACCAGGAAGTCATTTAAAGAGAAGAATGTTATGGAAAAAATGCTTGTCAGTGGGTCAGTAACTGTAGGTTTTGAGATAATATGGACCCAAGGACTTCTTTAACAATGCTTTCCAGATTCACTCCATCCAGCACCAGCCATTGTGAATACCTGTGAGAAATGTCTTCCCTGGTTCTGAGAAACTAAAACAGAACAATTCAATCACCACTGCAGCAAGATTGTTTTAAAATTTTTAGAAAAGAGCTTAAATTTTATGTTGTATTTTGTGTTCCATTTTATCTCTACATTATCACTTTCAACCTAATGCTTACAAAATTTGAAATCATGAACATTACACTATTAAAACCAAACCTGTAATCCCAGCACTTTGGGAGGCTGAGGCGAGAGGATTGCCTGAGCCCAGGGGTTCGAGACCAGCCTGGGCAACTTGCCAAGACCTCGCCTCTACAATAAATAAAAATTTTTTTTAAATTAGCCAGTGTGGTGGTATGCACCTGTAGTTATAGCTACTTGGAAGGCTGAGGCAGAAGGATGACTGGAGTTCAGCAGGTCGAGGCTGTGGTGGCTATGAGCTTGCCACTGCACTCCAGCCTGGGTGACAGAGTGAGACTCCAACTCAAAAAAAAGATCTAAACTATGTGTTCTTAGTTGTTTAATGTGTTTTTCCTTATTTAAATTAATAATGTATGGGAAAGTGATGACTTCTGAGAAAGTGAAATGTAGATATACTGACTTCAGCGTTCATCCTCTGCTGAAATTTAAAGACACTGATGTGCCCCCGCTATTGTTGTTTGCAGAACTGTACAAATATCGAGTGTCTGCAAATCTCCTGTGCAGTGGGACGACTTGAAGGAGGAGAAAGCGCCGTCCTGAAAGTCAGGTCACGATTATGGGCCCAGACGTTCCTCCAGGTAATAAAAACAAACAAACAAAAAAAACACTGAGGCACAGGGAACCTCTGCTCAAAAGCTCAGTGGAAGGCCTCTTTAATTTTTAAAAATTCTAAATTTTCATTTTTAATGTTCTTAATTTTAAAATATGTACAACTTTTTTACATTTTGAACTCTTTGATGGTTTAAGTTTTTTACAATTAAAAGCTTAATTTTTTAAATATCATTAAAGGACATTTCTATGGAGGTGTTGAGCAAGATGAGCTGGTCAGCTTTCCGAGCAGGTGAAGACAATTTCACTATCCCAAGTTCCTAAGACCTTCTGATAGTAGGTTGAAAAAATTGTCTTTAGCTCACTACTGTATACTCAGTGCCAGAGTGGTTCCTCAGTAACTATTAGTCAATGAAACTATGGTAAGTATGAGAACACAGTTCAAGACATATGCCCAGAAAAGCAAAAGTAGAAATAAATTTAGAAAGGACAAAGGAGATCATTCTAGAAAGTTCTTCCTGTCAGATGGTCTTTCAGCATGGGCTCCATCCGCAACAACATCTCAGCCCCAGGTACTTGGGCTTATCAGTCCTGTGGCTTCCCACACAGCCAGGAATTATTCCGTTGATTGCATTTTAAAAGTTTAAAATCTGTTTTATGCTAAGAAGATGAAATTTTCCTTTGGGAAAGTGCTATTTAGTTAAATGATACCATAACGTGATGACCTTATTGTTTGGGGAGGATTTCAAATTTTTCTAAAGAAAATTAAATTAAAACTCCTACCATGTCTGAGCCTTTTTGCTCACGTTTGAACTACTAGAAACACTCTTTGGTTCATGTGCCGGAGAAGATCAAATGGTAAAATCCATTTGAGTCTAGCTATACAGATGGGATTTTATATCTCCATAGTTTCATGTTTTCTATTATTTAAAATACTTCTGTAGTCTCACCAATCTTATTCAATTTTGCTTCTAAAATAAACTTGAGGAAGGTTAAAATTATTTTTTCTTTATTTTCTACAATTTATTTAAAATGTATATAGTAGTGTAATTTCATGATTCCAAATTTTGTAAGCATTAGGTTGAAAGTCAGAAGCAAGCCAAGAACATATCATTGTTATTACTTAACATTCTTCTGAAAGTTTATCCAACACATTTTTTAAAAGAAAGAAATCAGAGGTAGAAGACTTGCAAAAATTTCCATTATTTTCTGAAATTGAGGAAGATTAAAGTTATGTTTAAAGCTTGTTGTGAAACTTTTCTTTTTTTGTTTTTGTTCTGTTTATTTATTTATTTATTTATTTTACCTATGGCAGAGTTTCTTAACCTCTGCACTACTGATATTTTGGACTGGATCATTCTGTCGTGTGAGCTGTCCTGTGCATCCTAGTTTATTCAGTGGCATCCCTGGCCTTTACCCATAGACGTTGGCAGCTATCCCCATCCCAGTTGTGAAAATCAAAAATGTTTCCAGACATTGCCAATGTTCTCTCAGGACAAAGTCACCCCCAGTTTTGAACTACTGACTTAAGGAGAGGTGCAGTGCCCGATTGATTTGATTCCTTTTTTTAATCAAACCATTATTTATTCATTCACTCAACAAACGTCTATGGAATGCCTGCTGTGTGCCAGGTGCTACTTCGGGGTCTAATTATAGGTGAAATAACAGTGAACAAAACAGACATAACACCTGCCTTCACAGAGCTGTCAGCTCCGTGGAGGGATTCAGAAATGGAGCAGATAAATACATGCATGAGTGCCAGGAAGAATGTGAAATGGAATGGTCAGATCAGGGTGGTGTGATAAGGAGTCGAGAAGGGGCTACTTTTGCAGGGAGGGTGGGAATAGGAGAGCTCTGTGAGGAGGTGCCGTGGAGCTGAAATAAGAGTCATGGGAAGACCTGCAGGCAGGGTTCCAGACAGAACAACCAGCAGTGCAAAGACCCTGAGGCCAGAACACTTTTGCCATGTTGAAGAAACAATGAAAACCAATGTTGTCCCACAGAAAATCAAATGGTAAAATTGAGAGACAGAGATGAGACAGAGAAATAGTTAGAAATTATGTATCATGGAAAGGATCCTGGATCTTATTCTAAGTGCAATAGAAAACCACAAAGAAATTTAATCCAGGAAGAGATGTGATAATAACTATGTTTTTAAAAGAGCAAGAGTGAATAAATCAATTAATTGATGCATAGTCTAACAAAAGAGTACTATATGCCAGTGAAAAGGAATTAACTAGATGGGTCAACATAGATGAATCCCAGGAATACAACTTTAGTTTAAAAAGCAAGTCAAGTATGACTCCGCTTATTTAAAGCTCAAAAACAGGTGTAACTAAGCTGTACATTGTTTAAGCTTAGGGAAAACAAGGGAATGAAAGCACAAAATTCAGGAGAGTAGGAAATAGCCTTTTGGGGTAGGGGCCATTCAGGAAGGAACAGAGAGAATGTTTCAAAAGCACTAGTGATGTTCCATTAAAGTCAGTGGTAGACAGACAGATGTTCATCTTGGCTTTGTCTCCATCATCATGTTATACCTGATGACTTACATTTACTCAGTGTTAATAAAACAACTTTTAATGGGCAATATCAAAAGCACTGACACAATTGAGAATCTACTGCAGTTGTCTTGGGGGAAAAGATGGCAGATTAAACCAGGGCAGAACTGTGGAGTAAGTGAGGTGAGTTATGAGTCAGGATTTATTTTGGAGGAAAACCCAACAGTACTTGTTGAGTTTATGATGAAAGAGAGAAGTCAAGAGTGACTCCAAGGTTTTGTGCCTAAGCCAAAGAGTGAGGAAGACTTGAGGGAGAACTTTTAGGAGAGAAAGCCAAGAGTTCTGTTTTGGACGCTGTATTTGTCATCTATATTCCTGCATAATAACAAATTTCCCAACACCTATGTCAACACAATAAACATTCGTCCTTCCACTCTGAGTCAGGAATCTGGCTACAGCTTACCTGGGTGATTCTAGTTCAGTGTCTCTCTTGAAGTTACAGTGGAGACGTCAGTTGGGGCTGCAGTCATCTGAAGGCTTGAGTGGGGCCGGATGTTTGTTCATGTGGTGACTCAGGGACATGCACGTCAGGTTAGTGCTTGCTGGTGGTGGGAGACCTCAGGGCCTTACTAGGTGGACCTCTCCACAACGCTGCTTGAGTGTCCTCCTAACGTGGTGACTTAGCTTCCCCAAGCAAGTGAGCCAGGAGAGAGTAAGGCTCTTATGTGTTTTATGACCTAGTCTTGGCAGCCCCATTCTGTCATTTTCACAATGTCTGATTGTTGCATATATCAGTCGTCTTCATTCAGTAGGAGAGAGGCCCACACAAAAAGGAGTGAATACCAGGAGTCAAGAATTCACCAGGGCCATCTCAGAGGCTGACTAGCTCAGGTACTTTAACCAACTCCTGAATTTTCTACTTTTAGGTGAAATTTCTCTCAAAGCATAAACTATAAATCCTCTGTTTTCCTCTAGTCAAATGAAAGCTGGGAATTAGTTACATTACCATAATCAATATATTAGTTTCCTAGGGCTGATATAACCAACAACCATGAACAAAGTGGCTTAAAACAACAGATATTTATTCCCTTCCAGTTGAGAAGATTGGAAGTCCGAAACAAGGTATTGGTAGGGTTGGTTTCTTCTAGAGGATCTGAAGGATAAACCACCACATGCCTCCCTCCTAGCTTCTGGTGGTTGCTATAAACCTGGGTGTTGCTTGGCTGATAGACACATCACTCCAATCTCTCCCTCCATATCCATGTCACCTTCTCCTCTATGTCCTGTGTCACCTTTTCTGTCGCTTATAAGGACACTCTTATTGGATTTAAAACTCACCCTAATCCCAGTATAATCTCACCTCAACCCTTAACTTCATCTGCAAAGACCCTTATTCCAAGCAGGGTCATAGTATGAGATTCTAGGTGGACCTGAATTTGCAGGGGGCATTATTCAACCATCAATAATCTTACATTCTGGCTGGGCACTGTGGCTCAGCCTGTAATCCCAGCACTTTGGGAGGCCAAAGCGAGAAGATTGCCTGAGCCCAGGGGTTCGAGACCAGCCTGGGCAACTTGGTGAGATCTTGTCTCTACGATAAATCAAAAAAAAGTTGGGCATGGTAGCGCACACTTGTAGTTCCAGCTACTTGGAAGACTGAGGCAGAAGGATCTCTGGAGCCCAGCAGGTTGCGGTTGCGGTGGCTGTGAGCGTGCCACTGCACTCCAGCCTGGGCAACAGAGTGAGACTCCAACTCAAATAATAATAATCCTCATCATCACCATCTTACATTCCCACTAGCAAAGGCATACTTCATTTTGCCATAGTAGTGTAATAGTTTCTTTAATCTTGTAAATGTGCTCCTTTAAATGCTTCTCTAATCTATTATGGGGGGATATAGGGGAAGTAATTAATTAGGGTTTAAGTCATTTTGTTACAATTCTATTTTTTTTCTGTTTACTACATACTTTCTCCATCTACCCTCAGACATATCATCACTAATCTTGGGCAAAATTTTGATGTGTGAACCTATGAGTGAGAATGGTTTTGAATTTTACATGCACCATTCATGTGTGAAAACTGCCTGTTAGCAAAGTGATGTGTAAAAAATTACAGACACACATAAAATCAAGTTCTAGGAGCAATGGTCCTGATATAAGTTAGATAGAATCTGTTTCCTCTGTCTTTGGTGGGGACCAGGTCAGGAGGCAGGTACTCGGTTCCATTCTCATCCGTGTTTCACGGGGCTCAATTTCCTTATTTGTGAAATGAAGGGATTGGACTAAAGAATTTCATTCCTAAAAATTCACAGGTTCTGTGGAAAGTTCACATGGAACCTGTTCTGATACGTTATTTATGGCGTTTGTTTTCCTTAACTTCAGTCAGCAATAACTCCATGGGCTTTATGAATATCTTACTTTTGCCTTGTCAACACTGTGGTTGACTCAAAACAGACTACATCTCAGTGGTTCTCTACACTTAAGGAACAGCCATCCAACCTTTCCAAAGAGGTCTGCTTGTCTGCAAATAGC